TGGCAAGGCGCTATGTCTACAAAACACACACGTACACACAATTAGCTGGGCATGGTGGTACATGCCTGTATCTGAGATATTTGGGAGGCTGAAGTGGGAGGATCACTTGAGTCCAGGAGTTCAAGGCTACAATGAGCCATGATCACACCACTGCACTCCAGCCTGGATGACAGTGCAAGACCTGACTCTAAAAAAAAGAAAGATATGTATAAGGAGCCACATGGCCTCAGATAGGTGAATGAGCAGCTGGAGGTGCAGGGAGGTGAGGAAGCCTCACTGGGGAGCCGCCTGAGTCCTGGCCTAAGGCATGAGCATACACCCAGACAGGCAAGGGCAGGGGCTGAGGGAGGGGCGAAAAGGGACTGCAGGAGAAAGGTGAGGGGCTCATCATTTGCAGCTGAGTCTGATGAAACTCAGAACCAGGCCTCTGGTTCCTGGGATCTAAGCACCTCCTCAGAAGCACTGTGATGGGCTGAATTATACCCCTCATATTGATATGCTTAGATCCTGACCCCCAGCATCTCAGAGTGGGACCTCCTTTGGACAGAGTGTTTAAAGAGGTAATTACTTTGAAATGAAGTCATGAGTAGGTCCAAATCCATTACGACTGCCGTCCTTGTATGAGGAAATGTGGACACGGGAGGCAGAAAGGCAAAGCCAGCCCCATCACTGCTGCCATCCGAGCAGCTCTCATTTTGTGTTTCACATCTTAGACTTCTGCATAAGAGTTTGTTAGTGGAAAAGCTTCAACTGACTAAAAACACGCTTTAAAACCACTGAGCTTGAATGATCTCTGAAGCCTCTTTGCTTCCAAGAGATTCTTATTGTTCACCCACTACAAACAGAAAGAAGCAAATTAACATAAGCTGGAAGTGGACCTGCTGAGCAGCTCCACCCTTTGTTCAGCCTCCTTCCGAGGCACGAAAGGCAGTGTGGTGTCGGCTTCACACATAATCTGTATATCCTGGTAAAAATCTGGGAAGGGAAAGTCTGTGCCTTTAAGTGTTTTGTTTTGTTTTTGAGACAGTTCACTCCTGTTGCTCAGGCTGGAGTGCAGTGGTGTGATCTCAGCTCATTGTGACCTCTGCCTCCCAGGTTCAAGTGATTCTCCTGCCTCAGCCTCTTGAGTAGCTGGGATTACAGGTGTCCACCACCATGTCTGGCTAATTTTTGTATTTCTAGCAGAGACACGGTTTCACCATGTTGGCCAGGCTGGTTTCGAACTTCTGACCTCAGGTGATCTGCCCACCTTGGCCTCCCAAAGTGCTTGGATTACAGGCATGAGCCAGTCTCTTCCTTTAAGCTTAATTAAAAGCATACCTGGCAGCCGGGCATCATGCCTTGTACCTGTAATCCCAGGACTTTGGGAGGCGGGAGGATGGTTTGAACCCAGGAGTTCGAGGCTGCAGTGAGCTATGATCCCGCCACTGCACCCCAGCCTGGGTGACAGGGTGAGAGCCTATCTCAAAAAAATAAAAGTACCTGGCAAGGTAGTGAATGAAATATCCAGTTCACTGGAAGGTTGCTACACTGAGTTGCTTCCCTGCTGTCAGATGGCCTGGTGCACACAACACAGTTGGGTTTTGGTACTCAAGGAATCTGCCTTCCTTTTGTGGGGACCAAAATAAAGCAACCACATTCTAGGTAGGCTCATGCCCAACATAAAAGCTCTTATAGTAGATGAAGGTAATAAGTAGAATATACAAGCCATTTTTGGACAGTCATTGCTAATACCACTTATACTCAACTTAGTTCTTCCAAAGAATATTGCTCTAAGAAAGTGATCTTCCACAAAACAGTCTACTAAAACAATTCATATCTGCACAGTAAGGGTGTCTTTCTCCTATACTGATGTACTCTGTTGCTAGGCGATGGGCCTGGAAGAGAATTCCTAAATTAAACTTTCCTGCAGACTGACTTTAACTGAACCTGGCTCTTTAAGGGCACATACTGCATTTACTATGTGTGTCACTGTGCAAAAACCTGTCATTTCTGAAGCTGGAAGACAATTAACCAGGTCACCTTGTATCTTATTCTAGGCATGTTACCATCATACATATTACGAGATAAGCGACAGCTGTACTATGGTGGAAAAGCACCATATTAGGAGAAAAGCAAATCTAAGATTTGTTATTTACTAGCTATGCAGCCTTGAAAGACGGCTTAACATCTCTCAGCCATGATTTCTCATCTGTAAAATGGATATTTTTCATGTTTGTCATAAACTATAATTAAGATACTATATATAAAATACCTTTTAAAGGAGTACTATATAATCACTTTGTATACTGTAAATGTATACAATTAAAAACACAAAAAATAAGATAGTATAAAAATCTTTAGCAAGGATTAAGAAAGTACACTATTTGAATTTTGTACCATGATCATAAATTAGTATTATAATTTTATAAGTCTTGTTTGAAAATACCTACTATTGCCTACTAAATCAATTTTTCTTTCTTTCCTTCCTTCCTCCCTTACTTCCCCCCCCCACCTTTCTTTTCTGAGACAGATTCTCGCTCTGTCACCCAGGCTGGAGTGCAGTGGCGTGATCTTGGCTTACTGCAACCTCCACCTCCTGGGTTTAAGCAATTCTCCTGACTCAGCTTCTCCAGTAGCTGGGATTACAGGCACCCACCACCACACCCGGCTAATTTTTGTATTTTTAGTAGAGATGAGGTTTTGTCATGTTGGCCAGGCTGGTCTCGAACTCCTGGCCTCAAGTGAACCGCCCACCTCAGCCTCCCAAAGTGCTGGGATTACAGGCATAAGCCACAGTGCCCAGCCCCTACTAAATCAATTTAAAAACTCCTGCATTAAACCTTTCCGTCCACCCACAATATAATCCTACCTAATTCCTACCTCTGCTCTTTACTATGTTTTCACCAAATGAATTATTTGTTATACAGGCCCATATATATTTCTGATTCATGGTTGAACGGGTATAGGAGGAAATGTGTGGAATAGAGAGATGCCTTTTAACTTAAAAAAATGTTAAATGGATATAGCATTATCCACTATGGATATAGGATTATAAAGGTTTATGGTAATTGTATTTTATTATAGAAAAGAAACATTTTTTCCCCATTTAAAAATTCTCTGAGAAATCTGTTGTTAACTATATCATAGAGCAGAGCGATAGGGAAGCAGTGGAGCTGTTTCTGTGCCTGCTTTCTCTGCCGGCCTGGGGGCTTTAGGGATAGGGAACACTACCATTAGCCGTGCTGAGCAGCGCTGGTGTCAGCAGGCATCAGAAATTCGCTCCTGGAGGGAGGGAAGAAGGATTTTCTAAGGTTGCTAATAAATACAATTTCAAAAAAAATCCCATAAAATTTCAAAGACGTCCTCAGTAATTCAGAGGCATATGAAATTAATATATATGCTCTGAAGGGGTCAAGGCTTATTTAGACGTTTATTTTTTGTTTGAGACAGAGACACACTCTGTCACCCAGGCTGTAGTGCAGTGGCGTGATCTTGGCTCACTGTAACCCCCGCCTCCCAGGCTCAAGTGATTCTCCTGCCTCTGCCTCCAGAGTAGCTGGGATTACAGGCACCCACCACAACACCTGGCTAGTTTTTATATTTTTAGTAGAGACAGGGTTTCACCATGTTGGCCAAGCTCTTGACCTCAGGTAATCCACCGACTTGGCCTCCCAAAGTTCTGGGATTATAAGCCTGGGCCACCACGCCCAGACTTGGATACTTATTTTCTAATACTGTCTATCTAAAAAACCAAATTACAGGTCCACACCTGTAAACCCAGCACTTTGGGAGGCCAAGTTGGTGGATCACCTGATGACAGGAGTTTGAGACCAACCTGGTCAACATGGTATAAAACCCAGTCTCTACTAAAAATACAAAAATTAGCTGAGCATGGTGGCACATGCGTGTAATCTCAGCTATTCAGGAGGCTAAAACAGGAGAATCGCTTGAACCCAGGAGGCGGAGGTTGCAGTGCTGAGATCACGCCACTGAACTCCAACCTGGGTGACAGAGTAAGTGAGACTCTGTCTCAATAGATAAATAAATAAAATAAAAATAAATAAATACAAAACCAAACAGACCCCTACTCTCCCAGTTACCCCTCATTTTCACTGCCCTTTATGTAAAGGAGACAATGAATGTATTCAAGTTGGCATGTCTGTTTTGATAAAAATGCCAACAAAAGCTAGCTCCTGTGTCAGCTGAAGTATTTAAAATAGAAATTTCTATTCATACAAAAATTGATGGGCTTGAGTAGCAGAATTTCAATGAACATATCTTGTAAGGTTCTCTGATGTCCAAGGTTGGCTGGAAGAAATCTGGATGAAAAGAACAAGGGGTTTGTAGCTGCTCCTTAATCAAGCGACCACCCGCATGGCTTGGAATATGTTGGTATTTTGTAATTCTGAATAAATAATAGGTTTCTCATTACAATGTATGTCCATCTTTAAGGCTAAAATAGCTTATGAGTGAAAAGTTTACAATATTAAGCAGGGAAAAAAGCAGGATTCAGAGTTGAATATAGAATATGATTATCTCTGTGTATAAAAATGCTGATAATGATAGTGTTTAAATGGCTGGCAAGCCATGGCAATTGATTTTCTTTTTTTGGTTTAACAGATTTTTTCAAATTGGGTGGTCAGCGCTTTTATAATGATAAGAAACTAAACTGAAAATTCCCAAATTGTGTAAAACTGTTTCAGTTAATACTGGTGGAAATAAACCTAAACTATCACCAAGTGACAGGGCTTAGCACCTATGAGCATATCTGCCACTCATAAAAGTAACAGCCAACTATCGGAACGTGCCTTTCCTTCTGGTTATCAGTCACCCACAGTTCAGGGGTTCCATCCTCCATGGTACCCTAAATAAAGCGGTGCTACTGACTTGTTACTGGCAAAAAGTGGGGGCATGTACTCTAAGAACTCCAACTCCTCTTGCTTCTTTTCCTTCCAGTAGCTTTGCTCATTGACTCCAAGGCTCTGGGGTGGGAGTGTGAAGGTGGTGACTGGGCTTACCGTGAGCCTTTCACATGCTCATGAATGAAGTCGGCATGAAACCTCGGGACCAGAGGATCCTTCTCGCCATGCACAATCAAGGTGGGGCACTGGACCTGGGGCAGCAGGTGCCGGCAGATGTTACCTGAAGGACACACAGCACAAGGAATCTGCTTTAGAGCAACCATTCTGCACGGTCAGAGAAAGGGAAATGTGGCAAGCCCTGCCCCTCTTTAGCCCTCAGTTTCCCTATCTGTGAAAACCGTGGTTTGGATGTGACCACGCTTGGGTTTCTTCCAGCCCTTTCTTTGGGGTTCCTTTTCTGTTTCTCGCTTTCTTGTTTGTTTGCCTGTTTCTCAGTTCTACTAGTAAACAAGCAGCCTGATTTAAATTAACATAAAATAGTAGAAAAATCAAACACTTCACCATGATATTCTATAGCAATAGTTCCCAATGCGAAAACGGTGGTAGGTGCTTCACACCTGTAGAGCTTTTCCCTGGAGATCACATTTCAGATGAGCAAAGGGGCCCCAGCCAGCTCTCAAAGCATATGAACCTCATGATGAACTTATTATACAACTTACACATGGGAAAGCAGCTTCTCCTGATCGCTGGTGCCTCTGTGAGACTACTGACTAACATACTTTGGAGAGCCTGTAAGGACTGACTCCCTTTTCTAACAATTTTCCTGAGGCGATGATGGACAGCCTGGGCTCTAGTCCCTCTAGTTCCTGTACTGCAGTTTCCTGCCTCTGCGAGACTGTGGTGGCTCCTTAACCACTGGGAGCTTTAGCCTCAAACAGGAACAATCACAGTTCCCTTGGCTGTTATGGGGCTAAAAAGAGTTTTAGCTAAGGTTCCTGGCATCCCTGAGCTGGCTCTTTTCTTCTCCCTTCCTTATCTGTGTGTGTCCAGAGGAAAGCACTGTAGCTCTGAGAAGGTTGGGAGCTGCTCCCACAGGGTGGTGCTCCCTGCCGTACCCTGCACAGGCTCCAGGCCTTTCCCTCCTCCTCAGTGGGGAGTCACTGCCTGTTAAGTGAGAAGGGGACCTACTGACTAGGGAAATACTCCTCCAGGTCTCTGATGCTTCCCTCGCCTGTCCCAAGATGACACACATCTGCCAATTCATCATCATGTGATGATGAAAGCCAATGTTCCTAAGAGCTCACTTGTGTCAGGAAGTGTTTAAACAATTTCATATCTATTAAACACAGTAGTTACATGTTTTAACTCATTCAGCATATGAAAATGTTTTTCCATTAAGTACTTTTACAATAATAGTAATACTAACTTTTCATTAGCCACTTACTGTCTTTGATCCTGCGCTGAAGCTGAACAGATAATATCTCATTTAATCCCTACAACAGCTTTTCGAGGTCCCAGACAGGAAACTAAAGCTTCAAGAAGCTGTTACCTGCCCAGATCCATTCTAACAGCAACCCAGGGGCAGAGCCAGAATTCACACTCAGGCCCATCGGACTCCAGCTCTGTGCAATGAATCCCTATGCTATCCTAAACATCCATAAACCTGAGAGGACAGTTAGGAAAAAAGGGCTCCTACCAAATTAGCACAGAGGGGGACACGTCAGGAAGGTCTCACTGTGAGACAGTTTATACAATGCTAGGGCCTCTATATCACGACACATTTTTGAATTACTCACTTAACTCTATTTCTACCTCTAAATCTTCCTATCTTTTCACTAAAACATAAAAGTTTACATTTTACAAACGTGCCCTCTTTCATGGAGAACTGTCTCAAACATTGTTATATGGCATTTAAAAAATTTTAAGAGCAGAGATTTCCAGGGCCTGTTTCTGTGGGTAGATACTGCATCTGAACAGGAACATTGTAAATAAAACATCTATTCGCTGTTTTCAACTCAAGCCAGAAGAGTAACATTTCCAAATGTCCTTTTCATTGTGAAAGTTTTGGCAGATGACTCATGCAGGAAACGATTACCTAATATATCAAATTGGTCCTTCAATCACAACCATTTTGTAACAATGCACTCCAAGATTAGATCTTAGCTACTCTATTTTCTCAGCAGTTAAAAAAAGGAAAAAATGAGATTATAAACATCAATAGCTGTATAAAAATAAACTACAGTTCGGAATTTCTCTTAAAGATGTCAATCCTTACTTTAACAGGAAATCTTGTTAATTTTTCAGATAAAGAATAGGAGATATTTGTTCATAGTTAAGGTCAGATAACTTAGTTCTTAAGTAGGAAAAAAATCCTGAATATTTTCTTCCTCATATTAATTCCATTGAGGTTGAAGATAACAGTGTCCTTTTGGGGTGTCACATCTAAATATGTAAAAAGGAAAAAATATTGTTCATATTGTGGCCTATTTATTTTCTAATTACTCATTCTGGAATTAGAAAATAGAAACTGTTTTCTAGATAAAAAGAACAGTTTTCTGTTAAAGACTCAACAATATGAACCTTTGGGCATGCAGTCCTATCTCTACATTAAGGCAGACTGATTGCATAAGAGCTGGCACAGTATACAAGAACTAGTATTCTCCGTTCACACATGAGCATGTGAGATGATGGGAGGGATGCATGAATCACTGAGCAATTCTGGAACACCAGGGAGGAACTCGAGCACCCTCTACAATAGGCAGAGAACCCTTGAAGCCCAGTAACCTACCATCTGGGAGATGTTTAAACTGGCTTATGCCATCCACCCACTTTTCACAGGTTCTGGCAAAGTAGTCATACCCATAGAGGGCTTCTAGAGGCTTTTTTGTTCTCTCACTCCATTTAGAAACATCTCGGATGCCTGAAAAATAGAAGTGTAGGCAAAGAAAGGTTTAGTCTCATGCTAAAGTATTGTCTTTAAGTATTCTGAGTACAAGCCACCTGTGAGCCCATGAGCTTGCTGTCCCACCTGCCTGGAATGCCTCCCTCCCTTCCTCTGCTCGGCTTAGCCTTGTTGCTGCTTTGCAGGTCTTCTGGACCCATGGCTGAGTGTCTGCCTCCCACTAGGACCTGTGTGCAGTGTAAGGGACTTTGCTTTGCTCCCCTCTGTATCACAGAACCTACACCAGTGCCTCCCACAAAACAGGCCACAAATCAATGCTTACCAAGTGAATGAAATTAGAGCTGCTTTCCTTTAAAGATACAAGATAAAAGAAAATATGACCCTATTAGGTTACCTGAATAAGAGCAACAATATTTGCAAAAGGAGTTGTTTTCTACATTGCACTTGCATGGACGTTGAGAAATGCACACAGATCATTCATTCTAATTTCTGCTGCCGAAGAAATAAGGGTGTTAAAGGCTAAGTACCGCTGGGCGTGGTGGCTCACACCTGTAATCCAAGCACTTTGGAGGCCAAGGCAGGTGGATCACCTGAGGTCGGGAGTTCAAGACCAGCCTGACCAACATGGTGAAACCCCATCTTAAAAAAAAAAAAAAAAAAAAAAAAGGGCCGGGCACGGTGGCTCACACCTATAATCCCAGCACTTTGGGAGGCTGAGGCAGGTAGATCACGAGGTCAACAGCTCGAGACCATCCTGGTCAACATGGTGAAACCTCGTCTCTACTAAAAATACAAAAAATTAGCTGGGCATGGTGGTGCGTGCCTGTAATCCCAGCTAGTCGGGAGGCTGAGGCAGGAGAATCGCCTGAACCCAGGAGGCGGAGGTTGCGGTGAGACAAGATCGCGCCATTGCACTCCAGCCTGGGTAACAAGAGTGAAACTCCGTCTCAAAAAAAAAAAAAAAAAGGCTAAGTACCAATTTTAAAGTATCTTGTAGATGATTCACTAGAAGGGAAGATAGCTAAAAACAACCATTAACATGAATCAACAAATACATTTCCTTAGCCCAATGATTTCCATACTTCAATACACTGTGATAAGTAGATTCTCATGCTCTTGAGCATATTACATATTGCTCACTGAGAGTTACATGATTCACACGGAAGAAACATAACACTAATGGCATGAATTCACATGAACAACAATCTCTACAGGAACCCAGGCAGCGTCAGGTGCCTAGCAGGCACTCACTGTGTGCTTAGTGAATTGAAATCACCAAATGCAGGAAAAACTGCTATTTACAATCACAACTGCCTTCTGAGCAGGGAGGACTCCTTGGTACCTGCCTTTGCTTCTGCTGATTGGCTTAAATGTAGGCCCCAAGTGAGTCAAAGATAAAGGCTGAAGAGGATGAACTGCTCTGCACAACAGTGAAAAGACTGAAGTGAGGTACGTGGAGACAGCCTGAAAGTGAAGAGGTGGGGAGGAGGAGAAGTTTGGGGGGTGGGGGGTAAGGGAGAGAGACGCAGGCAGGACAGTGTGAAGATGGCTAGTAAAAAGACCCTGCAGATGCTTCTACTTCTGGCTGTATGACAGACCATACCCTCTGAAAATCTTGTAGGGGAAGAACTAGATCTTTCACAAAACAGAATTCTGCAGCATTGCTGAAGTTGCAGTGGTTAATGGAAACCAGGGTGTGAGTGTGTGAGTGTGTCTGCACATGAGAAAGAGAACCCTGAAAATACATCAAAGGGAGTAAGTCAGCTCCAAACGCAGGCCTGCTCTGGGTGGAGACACAGTGTCTCGGGCAGGCCAGGGGCTCAACCTGAGACTCCGGAATCAAGCTGAGCTAAAAATGGCCCCAGCCTAGTATGATATTCTGGTTCCCAAGAGCAGCAAATGCACATCTCTGAAGGAGAGCACTCTAGATTTATGCTCACTGTTTTGTTTGCTTTTGGATTAAGAGTAAGCAAATATTAGCTCCTAACCAAAGGTCACAAAACCAACAGGATTTTTATAAAGTTAATGAAAAAACCGGAAAACTGGAAGAGAACTCTTAAATTATGCAGAACACCATGCAGAGAGGCAAGGAGATGAAGAAGAGGTAAGAAAGCTCAAAAGACGGGTCCACTCGCCTCAGAAGAAGAGAATATGGAGATGAAAGATGCCGATTTGAAGAAACAATGGGTGGGAGTGGTTTTCAGAATGAATCAAAGAATCCACAAACAAAACTTCAATGTATTCCTAGTAGGATAAATAAAATGAAATCTGCACTTGGACAGAATATATTAAAACAGCAACATATCAAAGGTAAGAAACCTGAAAAACAGCCAGAGAGTGAAGACACATTACTCCAAAGCAGGAAGCATGTAGATGGACAGGAAGCTTCTCAACCGCAGCGATGGAAGGCAGAGACTGCAGAATGGGGATGATAATTTTCCACTTACATTTCCACACTCGGCTACACACACTTTCAAAAAAGGTGGGTGAAAGAAAGGTACTTTTTGGTAAAAACTGAGTTGACCATTAACAGGCTGCCCTTAAAGATCTTCTAAAAATAACTTCAGAAAAAAGAGAAGAGAAATGCTTTTAGAAGGAACATCTGAGAAGAAAGAACAGGTGAGTAAACAAATGGGCAAACACGTTGGTGGATCTAACATCAAACAAAACCAGCCAAGCCAATGAGAGAACAAAACACTGTGAGGCCAGGCGTGGTGGTTCACACAGGTAATCCCAACACTCTGGGAGGCTGAGGTGGGTGGATCACTTGAGTCCAGGAGTTTGAGACCAGCCTGGGCGATGTGGTAGAACCTCATCTCTACAAAAAAAACAAAAATTGATTGGCCTGGTGCGGTTGCTCATGCCTGTAATCCCAGCACTTTGGGAGGTCAAGGCGGGTGGATCACCTGAGGTCAGGAGTTCGAGATCAGCCTGACCAACATGGAAAACTCGGTCTCTACTAAAAATACAAAATTAGCCGGGCACGGTGGCGCATGCCTGTAATCTGAGCTACTCAGGAGGCTGAGGCAGGAGAATCGCTTGAATCCGAGATGTGGACGTTGCAGTGAGCCGAGATCACGCCATTACACTCCATCCTGGACAACAAGAGTGAGACTCTGTCTCAAAAACAAACAAATAAACAAACAAAAATTAGCTAGGCGGGTGGCACACACCTGTAGTGCCAGCTACTTGGGAGGCTGAGGCGGAACGATAGTTTGATGTTGAGCAGGTTGTAGTGAGCTGGGATGGTGCCACTGCACACTCCAGCCAGGGCAATAGTGTGAGACTGTCTCAAAAAAAAAAAAAAAGAAAGAAAGAAAGAAAAAGAGGAAAAGGAAAGAAAAATAAAATATTGTGGCATTTCCTTACATTAAGTAGTTCTGTCCATAAAGAAAAAGGCAAGGTGCCCACTGTGAAAAGGTGTTTGCAACAGAGCTGCCCTAAAAGAGGTTACCAGTCAGAGTATTTTTTAAAAAACTAGACATCAGTAACACTGTGATAACATTGAAACCATTCTGGTGCTGAGTTTGGTGGAGAGTGGAGGAGGGGGATTTGTTGTTACACTTCCTATTATATACCTAGACATGCTGTATTGTATGTATCATTTATTACATAATAAAAAAACTTTTAGCCAATAAAAATATATGAATAGATAGAATACAGAAGAAACTCAAACGGTGAATAAACACAGATTTTCAACCTTATTAGTAATAGGAAATACAAATAAGACCCCAAGAAGATAACATTTTACATCCATTTGACTGGTTAGTGAATTAAAAAGTCTGAGACTTGGGGCCGGGCACGGTGGGTCATGCCTGTATTCCCAGCACTTTGGAAGGCCAAGATGGGCAGATTGCCTGAGGTCAGGAGTTCAAGACTGGCCCGGCCAACATGGTGAAACCCTGTCTCTACTAAAAACACAAAAAATTAGCTGGGCGAGATGGTGGGAGCCTATAATCCCAGCTACTTGGGAGGCTGAGGCAGAGAACTGCTTGAACCCTGGAGGCAGAGGTTGCAGTGAGCTGAGACTGCACCACTGCACTCCAGCCTGGGCCACAGAGTGAGACTCTGTATCAGAAAAAAAAAAAAAAGAAGTCTGAGAATTTCAAGCTTTTGATGAAGAGGTTAAAAAAAGTTAAGGAATCTCATCTATTGCTGCTGAAAGTGTAAATTTATTTTGCTGGACAATGTTTTGTCACTTGTAATGTGGTATAATACTGTCGCTCCTATACCCCAGGAGACAGGTACAAGAACCAGCTGTCCATCTGTAGCCAAGTGGCTTGTGTGCTCACACAGCAATGGAGAGGGGGTGGTGGCAGTGAGGGCTTCCTAGAGGATGAAGTGCTTGGGCTATTCTGGGAGAAGAGAAGTCAGCAAGCAAGTGAGGGAGTGGGAAGGGCCCTGGCAAGGAGGTAGAAGCCCACCATCTGCTGCAGGAGGCCAGGTGGTCTTGGATGGCTGGACATTGCTGGCTGGGAGGCGAAAGTGGGAGGAGGGGACCTGGAGAGGCAGAGGCTAGGGGCACTCACTCCATGAGCAAAGCAGAGGAGCCCGAACTTTATCAGGAAAATTGTGGTGCGTCCCGAAAGGCTTAAAGTAAGATGCTATGAGATTCACATCTTGCTGAATTGCTATTAGAGCAGCATGGAAGGCCTACTAATAGGAGGTAAGGACCTGGATGGGTTGGAGAGACAAGGAATCAGCCCAGATGGGACCAACGAGGCTGGCAGGAGTCTGGTCGGAGGGAGAGAAGGGGAGGGTGAGATGGGTCCACCCAGAGCCCAGCAGAGGAGTGGAGTGGGCTGCAGGGTGCAGTGTGGGGGATGCGGTCTGGAAGGATTCCTCATTTCTGTGAGCCCCGGTTTTTCATCTGAGAAGCAGGCCAAGTATCAGAGACCTTATGGGGTATATGTCATTAAAGACTTTAGCTCATGTCAGGCACTCAATAAATAGTAACGAAAATATTATTTTGTGGGAGAAATCGTCTAATTCCAAAGAGTATTATTTGTAAAGATAAGAAATTTAGCAGAAGGGGCAGGCCTAGAAGGAAGATCATGAATTCAGTATTAGACAGACTGAATTTAAAGTATCTAGTGAGACAACCAGATAAGAAAATTGAATAAAAAGTTGAATAATGCAACACAGTGAGAACTTGTCTTTTTCTTTTCTTTCTTTCTTTTATTTTTTTATTGGGACAGGGTCTCGCCTCTGTTGCGCAGGCAACAGTGCAGTGGTGCAATCACAGATCACTGTAGCTTCAACCTCCCTGGCTCAGGTGATCATCCCACCTCAGCTTCCCAAGTGGCTAGGACTACAGGCACATGCCACCATGCTTGGCTAATTTTTGTATTTTTTTTATAGACACGGGATCTTGTTATGTTGCCCAGGCTGGTCTTGAACTCCTGGGCTCAAGTGATCCTCCTGCCTTGACCTACCAAAGTGCTGGGATTATAGGTGTAAGCCACCATGCCCAGTGAGAACTTGCCTCTTAAAAAAATACAAAAAATAAGTCAAATATGTGGGGTTTGTGAGTTTAGTGGAGTGAGGAGCTGAGTGAAGCCATTCAGGTGTGGGGGCAAGAGGGGAGCAGAGCACCAAGGGTGATGCCTGGAGGACCCCAACACTGTGGCCCACATACGGGAGCAGACATTTGTCAGCCAGAAAACAGCCCAAGAGAGAGCATGCGAAGTTGGGAGAACACAGTGGCGAGAACTTCCAGACAAAGAAAGCTTCAAGAAGAAGGGTGTGATCAATGCTGCACACATCATGAGCATGTTCTCATACATTGTAGCATGACCAAGGAGCCAGGAGGAGGAGTGTTGGGGGTGCAAGGAGGGGCCTGGTTACATGAAGGCACTGTCTGCGGTGGACTGGCGGGCCATAGCCATCTTGACACGTTAGGAGAGAATAGGGGATGAGAAAGAAAGAGCAGCCAGGAGGGGAAGTAGAAAGATGTCAGAGAGTAGAGTGCTGAGCTACCGAAAGAGTTCAGACCACCCCTTTCCTCCTTGAAGTTCATTATCAATAGTAGTAAATGGAAATACTGATTTTACTCAGCCTTTTCCTAAGCCATGGAAGTTTCACTCCTGGAAATAAAAAGCTTTAAAACTCAGACTGGTTAAATTGCATTACTTTTCTGATAACTCTTATTCTTCCTACCTGAGAGTTGAGAACTAGAAGCAGATGAGATATGACTCGTCAACAATCTCACAGTAAGAGATGAGACACAGAGAGAGAGGAAGGAGCTACCTTCCTTGCAGAACCTACCCTCGTAAATCACGCTGTCTTCATCAGTGACGTAGGCGTTGGCGCCCCAGATCACCATCTTGCGGATGTAAGATGGATATTTTGCAGCAGCAATGAGTGCGGTTATGCCCCCATCACTCCACCCCAGCAGAGAAACCTTCTTAAACTTCAGCGCCTGTGATCATACGACAAAATGCACAGCACAGGTTACTGCTCCTCTCTGTTAATAGAAATTGAGTCATTAATGATCAGAATCAATACAGGTGCAGGTCTGGAGTATCAATTAGTCAGGAAAGAAAAATCCCAGAGTCCATAATTTGATGATGTTTTCTCTTAATTAGTTCTAGTGGAAATTGTCACAAAAACCTGAGTATACAGTACGGGTTTGAATTATGAAGGAACTACATCTTCTGGTTGAATAAAAATCTCAAGGAACTAGAATCAGTGGAGACCGACTACTATCTAAGTAGTATACCTAATGACAAATACAGCACGTGTGTGTGCATGTGCGAGTGTGCATATGCATGCCTGAGCAAGGACTTGAGAGCAGTTCCACAGAGCTGAGAGGGAACTCTGAACTCTGCTGGATGAAGTGAAGCAGGGCATCTGGTAAAGCAACTGTGAGAAGAACTGGCAAGAACCGGGCTGTCAGAGAACAGTGCCATGGGGAGGTTATGTGAGTCCACGGGTCAATCAGCCAAGGTCTGGACACGTGTTTGGCAGGGAAAATGGACAAAGATTACATCTTAGAAAGGCTGCCAAGAAGGAAGAATAGAATGATTGGGAAATTAAAGGTAAAGAATTAATATCAGTCTAAGATATTTGCTGCTGGGAACATACATTGGCATAACTACTGTGGTACTATCCTGTAAAATGAACATCTGGAATTTCTATCACCTAGCAAATTGTCTCCTCAATGTGTATGAAACTCTCCCACATGTGCGCCAGGAGCTCAGTGCAGGATATCCACAATAATACCATTTGTAGTGGGGAAAAAAAAAGAAAATGGCCATGAGCAACAGAATCTTCACTGCCTGCTATTTATGACAGCAGAAAAAGGCAACGTAAAAACTGTCTACTATTAGAAAATTGGTGAAATAAGATACAGTACATCCATACAACAGAATAATATGTGCCTATCATACAACTGATACAAATGCGTTTTTTTTTTTTTTGAGACGGAGTTTCGCGCTTGTTACCCAGGCTGGAGTGCAATGGCGTGATCTCGGCTCACCGCAACCTCCGCCTCCTGGGTCCAGGCAATTCACCTGCCTCAGCCTCCTGAGTAGCTGGGATTACAGGCACGTGCTACCATGCCCAGCTAATTCTTTGTATTTTTAGTAGAGACGGGGTTTCACCATGTTGACCAAGATGGTCGCGATCTCTTGACCTCGTGATCCACCCGCCTTGGCCTCCTAAAGTGCTGGGATTACAGGCGTGAGCCACCGCGCCCGGCACAAATGCGTATTTATTGACATGAAAGTATTTCCTTGAAAAATTATTCAATAACAGTAATAAGGAGGAACGATCCAAGATGGCTGATCGATAACAGCTCAGGATTGCAGCTCTCAGTCAAAGCGCAGAGAACTAGAGGACGCCACACTTTCAGACAAATTTTGGTCACTCACGGAGCAGAAGATCCCCAGTGGAGGAACCACACGGGTCGCCAGTGCTCTCGGAGCAGAGTAAACAGGGCTGGCTCCCCTTCTGACCAAGGTTTGGAGGACCCACACGGGTCCCCAGCACGACTCTTGAGACCGGCGCAGCGGCTGCGACGGCACCTCAGCGCAGCAGCTCTGACGCAGAGTAAACGAGACTGGTTCCCCTTCTGACCGAGGTTTGGAGCACGGGGAAGGCAGAGTCGCCCATTACGGACACAAGAAGGAAGCCAGACAGGAGAATCCTGGGCAGAAAAGCACCATCAGTCTTAACGCTGCCATTCTGGCCCTGGGAACTAACAACTTGGACGTCCAATCAAGAGACCTAATCTGAAAGTTGGTAATTTCGAAGAAGACAGGAGGATAAATTTACAATGATGGGAAGAAACCAGCATAAAAAGGCTGAGAAAACTCAAAATCAGAACGCCTCTCCCTCTAAAGATGATCACAGTTCCACATCAACAATGGAACAAGGCTTGACGGAGAACGAGCGCATCCCAATGACAGAATCACTCTTCAAGGAATGGATAATAAGAAACTTCTGTGAGTTAAAAGAACATGTTGTAGCCCAACGTAAAGAAACTAGGAACTTTGAAAAAAGGTTTGACGAAATCCTATTGAGAATAGACAACTTAGAGAGGAGTATGAGTGAAATAATGGAACTGAAGAATACAATACAGGAACTCCGAGAAGTATGCACAGGTTTAAACACTCGAATTGTTCAAGCAGAAGAAAGGATAACAGAGGTCAAAGTCCAACTTAATGAAAGAAAACAAGAAGACAAGATTAGAGATAAAAGGATAAAAAGGAATGAGCAAAGTCTCCAAGAAATGTGGGACTATGTGAAAAGACCAAATTTACGTTTGATAGGTATACCTGAATGCGACGGAGAGAATAAATCCAAGCTGGAAAATACCCTTCAGGATATTATTCAGGAAAATTTTCCTGAACTAGAAAAGCAGGTCAATATTCAACCCCAGGTAATACAGAGAACACCACAAAGATATTCCTCAAGAAGAGCAACCCCAAGGTACATATCGTTAGATTCACCAGGGTTGAAATGAAGGAGAAAATACTAAGGGCAGCCAGAGAGAAAGGTCAGGTTACCCACAAAGGCAAGCCTATCAGACTTACAGCAGATCTCTCAGCAGAAACTCTACAAGCCAGAAGAGAGTGGGGGCCAATATTCAACATCCTCAAAGAACAGAACCTTCAGCCCAGAATTTCATATCCAGCCAAACTAAGCTTCACAACTGAAGGAAAAATAAAATCTTTTATGAACAAGCAAGAGCTCAGAGATTTTATTACCACCAGGCCTGCTTTACAAGAGCTTCTGAAAGAGGCATTACACACAGAAAGAAACAACCAGTATTAGCCTTATTAAAAATATACCAAAAAGTAAAGAGCACCAACATAAAGAAGAATTTTCATCAACAAATGGATCAAACAGCCAGTTAACATCAAATGGCAGTAACCCTAAATTTAAATCGACTAAATCCCCCAATCAAAAGACACAGCCAAAACCCAACGGCATGTTACATCCAGACCAGTTTCACAGGCAAGGATACACAAAGACTCAAAACAAAGAAATGGAGAAAGATTTACCAACTAAATGGAGAGCAAAAATAAATAAATGAAAAGCAGGAGTTGCAATTCTCGTAGTGGATAAAATAGATTTTAAAGCAACAAAGATATAGTGGTAAAAGGATCAATACAACAACAAGAGCTAACGATCCTAACACCCAGATAAATAGAGACTTAGATTCAATGAGACAGAAAATTAATAAGGATATCAAGGACTCGAACTCAGATCCGGAACAAGTAAACTTAATAAATATTTATAGAGCTCTCCACTTCAAATACATAAAATATACATTCTTGTCAATACCACATCACACCTACTCATAGGTTTAAATGAAACATTGATTGGCCATTATTAATACCCATTTTTTTTTTTTTCAGAATAAAGCAATATTTCCATTCACCCTCCCTCTCTCTCTTCCTCTTTCTTTCTCTCCTTTACTCATTTTTCTTTCCTTCTCTCAAAAAAAGAAATCAACTTGTAAACCTCTAGATCCAGGTTGGCAATGTCTCTCTCATTGCTTGAATTCCTTCCTTTCCTTCCTTCTTTCCTTCCTTCCTTCCTTCCCTCCCTCCCTTCCTTCCTTCCTTTCCCCCTTCCTCCCTTCCTTCCTCCCTCCCTTCCTGCCTTCCTCCCTTTCTCCTTCCCTCCCTAAAAAAAACAAAAAAAACCCACCAGTTATAAGTTAGAAAAACGTCAGGTGTCGTAGGATACCATCAATATGAAACTGCATTTTTGAGGTAAGAACACTGGCCAGAAAGCGTAGCCTCCAAGGCTTCATTGTCTCTAGACAGCTGGATTGTGGGCTATTTCCATTTTCTTTTTATGTCTATTTGAGCTCTTTGAGTCTTCCATACAATCACATGGTATTATTTTATAGAAAGAAATAACAAAAATTAAACAAAATAAATGAAGACAGGCGCAGCCACGCCCCCTCCCCTGGCCCTTCCCTGAGAGACCCACCTTCATCAAATCAACAGCATCTTTTGCATCCCTTTCAAAAAAGTCTACTGGGAAATCACGATCTGGAGGCTTGGAATGTCCATAGCCTCGAGGATCCCAGGCGACAACTGTAAAGAGCTTCTTATTGAGGTTCTTGAGCTGAGGTCCAAAATCAGTCTCTCCACTTCCTAAAAACAGTCACTTGGTTACCCTCAGGTGAACGCTTTCACCTATCAAACACATTACAGTGAAAACAGAAGCAATAACAATCTTAAGGCAAAGTAGCTAGTTTCTACTCAAAAGCGGTAAGAATGTCATCAGGAAAGCCTTGCAATGACGTAATCCATCTACTCAAAGAAAGGCCGGCTTCCTTTCCTGGTGGAGTTAAGGCCTGCCTCCGAACTCCCCCTGGTGGCTATTTTGAGAAGGACAGAGGCCCTGAGTCTTGGTTCTGTATTATTTCAGCACTTTTGAAACCTCTTTGGCTTAATCCTCCTTTTCTAAAGAAAATAATTAATGAAACTGTATAGAAATTAATTGGCTGGGTGCGGTGGCTCACGCCTGTAATCCCAGCACTTTGGGAGGCCAAGGCAGGCGGATCACCTGAGGTCAGGAGTTTGAGACCAGCCTGGGCAACATGGTTAAACCTTGTCTCTATTAAAACTACAAAATTAGCTGGGCCTGGTGGTGCACACCTGTAATCCCAGCTACTTGGCAAGCTGAGGCAGAAGAATCGCTTGAACCTGGGGTGGAGGTTGCAGTGAGCCGAGATTGTGCCACTACACACCAGCCTGGGCAATGGAATGAGACTCCCTCTCAAAAAAAAAAAAAAAAAAAAGCAATTTTTAAGTTTTTTATACCTGGACAATGACTGCAATACCAAAATAATGAAAAGCTAAGATGGGAAATGTTTTTACAGATAACTTTAGCTGCACATCAGCCATGAGAGTCAATGTCCTCGTTCATCGGCTTAAGGAAAACAAACTTTTTTTTGTTTGTTTTCCAAAACAAACAAAAATGGTACTAAACACCATTTAGACAACATGCCTCACTAGCTACAATGGTGCCACGACCAGCTGAGGCTCAGACAAGCGGAACCTTTTTAGCACTACACTTTTAGAAAGAAGCAAATCACAAACAAGTAGGTACAGTCGGCCTTCCTATCTGTGGGTTCTACATCTGTGGATTCAACCAACCTCGGGACAAAAATATTTGGGGAAAAAATAGATGGTTGGGTCTGTACTGAACACATACAGACTTTTTTCCTTGTCATTATTCCCTAAACAATACAAGATAACAATTATTTACATAGCGTCTACATTGCAGTAGATATGGTAAGTAATCTAGAGATGACATAGAGTATAACGGAGGACATGCGTAGCTTACATGCAAATACTGTGCTTTTTTATATAAGGGACTTGAGGATCCTCAGATTTTGGGATCTGACGGCTTCCTGGAACCAATCCTCCATGAATACAGAGTCTAAATATTAGGATTATTTAACTAAATCAAAAATAAAGCAACAATACTAACACCCTTAAAACCAAATTTGGAATGTCCTAGAATCACTGGAAATTTTTCACTTGAACTTTCTACAACTGAACCTCAGTACAGTTCTGGGATTGAGATCCACTAGGCTTTATTATGTCCCATACATTGAGAGGGTAATATGCCAATCTAACTCTGATTTCTACAAATATTTAAATTAAGCTTCTTTCTTTTTTTCCCCCCTTTTTTTTTTAAAGATGGGGTTTCACCATGTTGGTCAGGCTGGTCTTGAACTCCCAACCTCAGGTGATCTGCCTGCCTTGGCCTCCAAAGTGCTTGGATTACAGGCGTGAGCTACCACACCCGGCCTCTTTTTAATTTTTCATAAAATTTTTTTTGTTTAAGAGACAGGGTCTTGCTATGTTGCCCAACTGGAGTGCACTGGCTACTCACAGGCGTGATCCCACTACTGATCAGCATGGGAGTTTTGACCTGCTCTGTTTCCGACCTGGGCCAGCTCACCCTTCCTTAGGCAACCTGGTGGTTCCCCACTCCTGGGAGGTCACCATATTGATGCCGAACTTAGTGCAGACACCCAATCGGCATAGCGCACTACAGCCCAGAACTCCTGGGCTCAAGTGATCCTCCAGCCTCAGCCTCTCTAGTAGCTGGGACTACAGGCACGTGCCACTGTGCCAGGCTAAACTTTCTTATCTCTTATTTTAACTGAATATATTATCAACCACAACAAGTGACAATTCACCCTAGTTTTGGCACTGAAATTCCCACATCCTGGAAAATCTCCCAATGCCAGGCAAACTAGGATGACCCATTGCCCACTCACCATCTTCCTTTATCTACGCCTTCTTCCACACCCCTTTCCTTGATCCCTGTCACCCTCCCAAATTATGGGCAACTGTGATTTCTTAGTGTACTTGCGTGGCAAAAACTGGGTACTTTACTAAAGGAAAAAAATCCAATTCTGAAAGTAGAAAGTTACGTACTTTTCTAAGTCACTTAAGTTTGTAGCAAATATTAAAACATTTCAAAGAAGTACTAAAATTAATAATCAATATTTGTCATCTAGTATTGTGACTGCATCATAGATTTTACAGCATGCAAAAGCATTCCATTAAAAAGCATCCAGACCCAACATCCCAGGAAGTAGCAGGACTGCGTGATCTCCCTCTCCAGTCTGCTGATAATGCAGATGAACGCCATTCACAGCCACTTTGGCGGAGGTTATCGAGGTGCTAGAAGAGAAAAAACGTATCCCCACAGGGGGAGGGGGAGACAGGGAAAGATTTCTTAGGTGATTCAAAATTATAGCTAGACAGGAGGAATAAGTGCTAGTGTTCCATGCCGCTGTGGGATAACTACAGCTAACAGTAATAGTTTCAAATGGCTACAGGAAAGATACTGAATGTCCCCAACACAAAGAAATGATAAATGTTTGAGACGATGGCTATGCTAATTACACTGATCTGATCACTATATAGTATACATGCATAGAAACAAAACTTTATATCCCATAAGTAGGTACAATTATGTCAAAAAAAAATTGAACCAGGTGTGGTGGCTCATGCCTGTAATTACAGCACTTTTAGAGGCTGAGGAGGGCAGATGACCTGGGGTCGGGAGTTCGAGACCAATCTGACCAACATGGAGAAACCCCATCTCTACTAAAAATACAAAAATAGCTGGACATGGTAGTGCACGCCTGTGATCCCAGCTACTCAGGAAGCTGAGGCAGGAGAATCACTTGAATCCGGGAGGTGTAGGTTGTGGTGAGCCGAGATTGTGCCATTACACTCCAGCCTGGGCAACAAGAGCAAAACTCCATCTCAAAACATAAATAAATAAAATAAAATAAAATTTGAAAAATTTTTAAAAATCCACCCCAAGAAAATCAGTTATCAATATGAATTTAATATGACAAAACTGTCTTTGTATGTGAATGAGTCTGCCCAGTACTCTTCTCAGGCTCCTTGGGTTATTCTGATTTTTCCAATTCTGAACAGTGACGTGAGTTTGAAATTTCTTTAGTAGACTGCCCATCTGAACTGTGCCCTTATGCTTGAATACGCTATCGCGCCCAACCTGGGAGTAACCCTACGAAAGCCCTGTGAGGCTTGCTGAATCAACAGCCACATGGCACATGCTGGTGAGCTGGAAGCTGAGGGCACTCAAGTGTAGTCTGGCATGGGGCTCAGTGCAGTGCAATGAGGGTGGACATCAGGGGCAAAGACCCTGGAGTCACTTGTCTGCACCCCAGCAGGCCCAGAGGAGCTACCCAGATGTTCAGCAGCCTTGGTGACATTCCCAAGGAGAAGGCTGGTCCAGGGTCTCAGGGTTGTCCTTTAGCTGTAGGGTATCCTGTGTTGTCTGGCTTGCTGCAGGAGGCCCACAGTCAAGAGTGTCCATCTACACTGACAAGGTCTACTGGTTTTTAAGATGTTAAAACACATCTGTGTTGACTGCTAAGTAGCCATGTCCATAAGCCTCCATGTCAAGAGCCCTCCTTCCAGCCACTGACCTGCCTTGGCCTAAGACCTCCTAGCATCCTGCATCTAACTAGACCACGCTTAGCATAGGACAAGGCCTCAGGACAGACATAATGCCAGTGTCTGTCCTGCCTGAATTAGGTGTGCTGTACAGGTGTTCTGATTAATCTCTCCACAGCTGCTCTTCCGGGAACTCCAAACAGACTGTCCTGGAATATACACCAGTCGGGCACCATAGACGGCCCCCACACCTGGACCAGGCTCCACCAGCCTGCCCACAGCTTATCAGACCCATGACTGAGTGAAGCACCGGAGGGACATGATGGCATGCCAGGACAGATGCCAGGAGGCACTCCTCTTCTCCGGGTAGAGTACTGACACAATGAAATCAACCACCACCTCCTTTTTCTTTTTTTTTTTTTTTTGAGATGGAGTCTCACTCTTACCGCCCAGGCTGGAGTTGAGTGGTGTGATATCGGCTCACTGCAACCTCCGCCTCCTGGGTTCAAGCAATTATCCTGCCTCAGCCTCCTGAGTAGCTGGGATTACAGGCACCCGCCACCATGCTCGGCTAATTTTTATATTTTTAGTAGAGACAGGGTTTCGCCATGTTGGTCAGGCTGATCTCAAACTCCTGACCTCTGGTGATCCGCCTGCCTTGGCCTCCCCAAGTGCTGGGATTACAGGCATGAGCCACTGCGCCTGGCCCTTTTTCTTTTACATATTCCCTACCCCTACCTCTGCCCTTGGTCAAAATGATAACGGAAACATATCCCTTTTGAAAAAATGAGATCCTGTTTTCTCTTTTGGTTTCATATTACTTGCCTACCTCAAGTAAGAAACAAATGTGGAAACAAATGTGTTGAATACAGGTACATTCCATCTTAACACACAATTTCTGGAAAAGTAAAAGACAGAATTGGGTAGTAATAAGGCCTGACCTAACTATAAGCTTCTTATTACAGAAATATGATTAGAGGGGCATCAGTGAAGCCACTAAGCAAGGCAATACTGACCCTGCCATTTGCTTATTACGATTATTGCCCTGTTCCTCTGAGGAATTCATTTTTATAGTTATGATAGCTTAGGATCAAGAAGCAAATACATGTACTCCACTAATAAAGACTCTTTCAGTCTTTGCTTATTGATAGTGCTGCTCTGCTCACAATCTAGTGGGAGAAACGATAAAGACACAAGAGGATTTGCCCTGCAACCTTCCAGGAAAGCCGAGTTATGACTGAAGACAAGAAGAGCTTGAGGCCCCTGGATGAAATGAAAGCTCAAAATAGTATTTCCTGTGTTTACTGCATTAAACGAGGCAACTCCCTAAATACAGATGGGCAGCGTTTACCCAGCTCGTGGTAGTAACTGTATGCACAGTACATGGTTTCCCTTTATTTCTCATGTCCTAGACATCTGTTATGGGCTCCCTTCCCTTAAGTGCTGAGATGTGCTTGTAAAAGCCTTTTGTACTGTGAGGTTTCAGGTACACTGAGAAGCCCCCTCCTGTCTTTCTCACCATTCAAAGCCAGTCAGTTTTCAGGACTGGGTGCTGCTGCCTCGTGCTCTCTAAGCCGGCCCAGGGCACTGGCTCACTCAGGCTTCTCTCCTTCAGCTTCCATCAAAATTCCCAAGTCTCTTCTGCAAAACACCTCTCACTTCTCTCTGCACTTTGAGACATCTACATTTTGATTTCCTATTCCAAATTTTTTTTTTTTGGGGACGGATTTTCACTCTTGTTGCCCAGGCTGGAGTGCCATGACACCATCTCGGCTCACTGCAATCTCCACCTCCCGGGTTCAAGCAATTCTCCTGCCTCAGCCTCCCAAGTAGCTGGGATTGCCGGCATGCGCTACCATGCCCCGCTAATTTTGTATTTTTAGTAGACACAGGGTTTCTACATGTTGGTCAGGCTGGTTTCGAACTCCTGACCTCAGGTGATTCATCAGCCTTGGCCTCCCAAAGTGCTGAGATTATACGCATGAGCCAGCATGCCCAGCCCAAATTTCTTTGTTAATAATTTTCACCATTTCATATTCTTTTGGTTGCCTAAAAAAAATATAGAAATAAAACCAGGTAGTTTGGAGTTCAGCATATTGGGAACTCAATGTCAGGGAAGGATTTACAAAGGCAGAAAACCTGGAAGGTGGCTTTAGAGGAGAGAAACAGATCGTATCAGGGGTGGATAGAGGTATCTGAGAAGAGGAAAAAAGTAACATTTGAGATGGACTTCCAAATATGAGTAAAATTCTGTAAAAAGAATGTGGTGGGAAGGCATTCCTGGAAGAAACAACATGATCACAGGCCCAGGAAAAAGGTACAGTGGTGGGGACAACCCAGTGTTCAGCCTTGCAGGAATTTGAAGGCAGGGAGTGAGCTAAGGCTGAGGCCAGATGGTGTCGGGCTTTGCAGTTAGGCTGAAGAGAAAGAGAACATCCTTAGAGCTTTGTCATCAACATACTATATATCCATCACAGCAGAGGTGCTGCCATGTCATATTAGCCCAGCCTTCTGGCATAGAGCCCTAGTATCTGCTTTCAGAGACACCTGAACTGTACAAGACTTTGCATTCATCTATTTCCTGAACTGCTTCATGCTAAGTGATAAAGGTAAGCCTTCACATAGCTTGGAGGTCAGCAGGAAAGACAGATGAGTAATAACCTGCTGACAGCATGGACTGTGAGTATTCAGAGCACTAGGAAGAGAAGCCAGGGCACACAGGAGCCCCGGGTGCTGGTGGAAGGGACTGAGTTCACTGCACCTTCACAACTCTCCACGGCTGCCCAAGCAGCCCCTTCTACAAGAGCATTTCCTGCCTTCTACATCAGTGGCGCTCAAAGTTAAATGTGAATAACCTGGCAAACTCATAAACCTCTGATGCCCAGGCTGCACTTCATGAAAATCGTGGGTGGGAGCCATGCATCTGCATTTTAAAAATTACCCAGGAGATTCCAATAGGCAACTAAGGATGAAAATGACTATACTGAGTTAATTTCTTGGAGGAAAAAAAAAAAAACCCTGTCTTCCCTTTAAAGCATGTCTTCCTGCGTTATATTTATCCTCGAGTCCCTTCTCCTGGGAGACTGAACAGGCAACTTTGTGAAAGGGAGGGAGGTAAGGAATAATACGATGGTATTGATGGGATAGAGCTGCTCCTCTTGAAGGAGGCTTTACTATGTGTGGTGGGGGCAAGAATATAACAGCCGGGCAAATAATTTAACTAAATCTAACCGTAGTTACCATCTCTCACCTACTCTGCTAAGAGTTTGACCTATCCCATTTATTTCGCTCTGAGGTGCACATCATACTTCACCTAATTCTACCACTGAGGAGCTTGAGATCAGGTAATCTGCCAGTAATGGGCAAAGCCAAGACAAACATCTGTGTGTCTGACCCCAAAGCCTCAGCTCCTCAGCGCTTTGCTTAGAGATACAAATGGTGAGTATTCACAATAGCAAACATGGAATCGACCTAAATGCCCAACGATGGCAGACTGGCTAAAAACGTGGTTCAGGCCAGGCGTGGTGGCTCACGCCTATAATCCCAACACTTTGGGAAGCCAAGGCAGGTGGATCATAAGGTCAAGAGATAGAGACCATTGCCAATATGGTGAAATCCTGTCTCTACTAAAGATACAAAAAATTAGCTGGGCGTGGTGGCGCACACCTGTAGTCCCAGCTACTCAGGAGGCTGAGTCAGGAGAATCGCTTGAACCTGGGAGGCGGAGGTTGTAGTGAGCCAAGATCGAGCCACTGCACTCCAGCCTGGTGACAGAGTGAGACTCCGTCTCAAAAAAAAAAAATGTGGTTTATATACACCATAAAATACTATATGACTATACACAAGATTGAGATAATGTCCTTCGCAGGAACATAAAGCTGGAGGCCATTATCCTAAGGGAACTAATACAGGAACAGAAAAGCAAATACTGCATGTTCTAAGTGGGAGCTAAACACTGACTACTTATGGATACACAGAAGGAAAAGCAGACAGCCCCCTCCCTGCCGCCTCAGGCCCAGGAAGCATAGTAGCTAATTAGTTACTATGTATTTACCTATATAACAAACCTGCAAATGTACTGAACCTGAAAGTTAAAAAAAGGAGGCTACTTAGTAAGGCATACTCTTTCCTTGAAAATGCGAATACAATATTATATATTCAGCTATTTCTTTTGTGTGTGTTTTGCAAAGTAGCCATTACCTACAATAAAGTGTTTGCTACCTTCAGGGCTTGAGTTTACATGAATTTTGGGGACTTATTTTTACACTGTACTTATTATATAAATCGTACTATTATATAAATATTCCCATTGTGCCTACTAATTAGTTCATATTTATTATATCCCCAGGCTTTTACATTCATTGTTTCAAATCCTCACAAAAACCCTGCAAGACAGGAGGCTGAGAGGTTGAGCAATCTGCCAACATTCACATAGCTAGGAAGTGGCCACACAGCCACTGGAACTCCAGAAGCCACGGTTCCTCTCTAACCTCATGGCTGAACAGGGTCTTAAGAGGGCTCAGGCACTGGGGCCACACTCTGACTGCCAGACACAGCGTGGTGGCAGGTGTCAGCTGAAGGACAGTCTCTGATTCTCTGGCAGGGCATCCCAAGGTTGAATTTAGAAAATATTTTTTAGGCAGATTGTTAGGTTATGTCAATTATTAACATTTATAACTACACATAATATACAATTTCAGGTAGAAAAGGCTTTTTTTTTTTTAACTTGACCCAGGAATAAAAAACACCTTACAGATTATGAAATAAGTGAAAGTTCCAAATAACAGATTTACAAACAAATCTGTGGAACACCAAGTCAATTGTAGGTTGGGCATTGGCTGTTCTGAAGCAGTTTTTACAGGAATTCTTTTACCTACGGACACCGAGCTACACAGCTTCGTTTCAGGATTAACCAACATCACTGCTTGTTTTTCCAGATTATGTCGTATCAACTTGCAGCTGCATTTATAAAATTGTAGTTCAAAATCCAGAAGAACCCGTTCTTTCAGAGATATTTTAGGAAGAATAGTCTGCAATGCAACTAGCTGGACAGGGCCTTCCGCAACCATTAAATAACCTATCAAAACTATATTGGTAGGCCAAGCACAGTGGCTCATGACTGTAATCCCAGCACTTTGGGAGGCCAAGGTGGGTGGATCACTTGAAGTCAGGAGTTCAAGACCAGCTTGGCCAACATGGTAAAACCCTGCCTCTACTAAAAATACAAAAATTAGCCAGGCATGGCTGTAATCCCAGCTACTCAGGAGGCTGAGGAACAAGGATCACTTAAACCTGTGAGGCAGAGGTTGCAGTGAGCTGAGATTGCCCCACTGCACTCCAACCTGGGCAATAGAGCAATCCAGCAATAGGGAACAAAAAGGAAGTTCAAATAAGGAAGGGGCATAGGCTGGAGAGCTAGTGGGCACAGACATTTTCATGTCCTTATGCCTTACAGCGTGGAGCATGGATGGAGCAATGGACTAATAAGGGCCCTGGGATTCTAATCTGTGCTTCAAGGGCGAGTCTATACTATGCAAATGTATCTCCCTGGGTCTCTCTGGTCTGCACACTGAAGGGTTTAGACTCCACGGCCCAAACCCTCCACGGCTCCTTGAACTGAGGCTGACCGAAGCGCATGCACGACCGAGGGGTTGGCGCACCAAGCGCTGCTGGCCCCCAGGATCAGGGTCTCGCGGCACAAAGGGCGACAGGGATGCCAGGCCGCGCCTACGCCTCCTGCCCGCGCACCTGGAACACCTACGGCCGGCGCGCGCCCCTCCCGCCGCCCTTCGAGCGCGCCGACGCTGGGGATACCCAGGGTGTGGTGGCCGCTATTACCCGAACGCGGCCGCAGGTCCGGCCTGTGAGACGAGGACACCGGGCTTCAGCGCCGTGAGCAGCATCCGCAGCCGCAGCCGCAGCCGCAGCACGCCCGGGCGGCCCAGCACAGACATCATAGACAAAGATGGCATCGCTGCCGGGAGTGCGCATGCACTGAAACCAAGCGCGGTCGCCGGCCCGATCCTCCCAGGAGCCACGCCCCCTCCTCGATCACCTGCCTCTCCCTGCATCCTCCCCGCCCCGATGCCACGCCCCCGGCTTCCGCCACCACGCCCACCCTGTCGCTCCCTCCTGCTCTGCCCTCGGGCAGCCCCGTCTCGAAGCCCAGCCCCGCCCCGCCGGACGCTTGCCGCTGGTTGACCGAAACTCTGCAGTCTCCGAACGGCCGGCACTCGCGCAGACTCCCCCTTCTCGATGCTGGTCTGGGTCCCGGGATGGGTGTCCCAGTCGGCGCTACCCTGCCTCCGCCCGTTGCCGCATCGACCGTGGGTTTTCCAAGAGGCGAGACCGCCAAGGCGCCCTCGCTGGGTGGGCGCCCAGGCGGGGCACCGCAGGGCGTGGAGGGCTCCGGCTGTAGGCCGGCTGCTAACGGTGGAAGTGCATTTGCTTTTCAGAGATGATGGGATCTATTTTCTTTTCTTTCTTTTTATTTATTTTATTTTTTTCTTACTAAGTTAAGAAAGCAGAGATCTATTTTCTTTATACCACTTCACACCCATTAGGATGGCTACTAGCGAACCCCCCAGAAATTAGTGTTGGTGAAGATGTTGAGAAATTGAAGCCCTTGTATAGTGCTGTTGGGAATGGAAAATGGTGCAGCCACTGTGATGAACAGTACTGCGGTTCCTCAAAAAAATCCAGCTTTTTCCTGTCTGGTTCATGTTGGTTAAAAAAAACCAAAAATAACAAAAACAAAAAATCCAGCTTTTCCATTCCTGGGTATATATATACCCCAAAAGAATTTAAGGCAGGATGTACAAGAAGAAATTTTTTTTTTTTTTTGAGACGGAGTTTTGCTCTTATTGCCCAGGCTGGAGTACAGTGGCGTGATCTCGTCTCACCACAACCTCCGCCTCCCACGTTCAAGCAGTTCTCCTCCCTCAGCCTCCCGAGTAGCAGGGATTACAAGCATAGGTCACCATGCCCGGCTAATTTTGTATTTTGGAGTTTCTCCATGTGGGTCAGGCTGGTCTTGAACTCCCGACCTCACGTGACCCGCCCTCCTTGGCCTCCCAGAGTGCTAGGATTACAGGTGAGAGCCACCACGCCCAACAAGAAATACTTTTATACTCGTGTTGACAGCCGCACTATTGACACTAGCCAAAAGGGTGGAAGCAATGTAAGTGTTCAATATACAGGGATAAGCAAAACGTCTGTGAATACAATGGAACGTTTTTTAGCCTCAACAAGGAACGAAATTTGTCACATGCTACTATATGGATGAACCTGGGGGAGGACACTATGCTGAGGGAGGTAAGCCAGTCACAAAAGGACAAACACTGTGTGATTCCACTTATATAATAAGGTACCTAGAGGAGTCAAACTTACAGAGACAAAAAATAGAATGGGTTTTGTTGGGGGCTGGTGGAAGGGGGAATAGGAAGCTGGTGTTTCATGGGGACAGAGTTTCAGTCTGGGGAGATGAAAAGGTCCTGGAGATGGATGTTGACGATGGCTGCATAACATTGTGAGTGTACTCAATGCCACTGAACTATACACCTAAAACTGGCTTAAGCGATAAGTTTTATGTATGTTTTACCACAGTTGTTTTTTCTTCGACTATATAATTCCAGCTTTATAAAGGCTATTGACATTATCTAATTGAAAACTCAGTGGAGAAAAAAATAAGTATTGCTTTAAGTCTAACGTTCTGCCTTAACTGGAATTAACCGGCAGATTTGGGGCTACTGTTGTGCACTTGGCTTGAATAATTGGAGACAACAGCTTCTTTGCACATTGCATTACTTTTCCTCCAAGAGACCCTTTTGGTGTAACAGTCAGTCCTGTGAGTACCGTGCTTGTAGGTGTTACACCCATGGACATTTCTGCCACCTGCAGCATCCTCACTGGCCCACTGGAATTTCTGAAGTAGCAAAGGCAGTTTTGGCTTAAATACAGACTATGCAAAAGTTTTTATATTCCATTTTCAGCATAAATCTGTCACATTAATTCTGGCATGAAAGGAAACAGACATACATAATGTTTAAGTTTTATATCATTTGACTTTCAGCAATCTTTGGTGAGGTCAGTATTTCCTTTTTTCTGCTGTGTTGATTCGGAATTCATCTCAGAAATGATAAAAATACTTGTCTGTACAGTTTCAACACCAGTTACTCTAGTGCTGAGCAGAAATGGTAGCACTGAGTTTTTAGGTTATTGGTGTCCCTATTTTTATATAGCAAGATGGTATGGTTTAAAAACTACCATTTTTGTGCCAGGCACCTTATGACGCATCATATTTCTTGAATCTTCACGTCAGCCTTCTGTGCTATTGCACTCCCCATTTATAGATGAGGCAGCTGAGGCTAAGAAAGATTAGGAAGCAAGCCTTAGGTAATACAGCTGAAAAGTAATTTGGAGCTGCTCAGTTTCAGGACCCTATACTGACATGATGACGGTGAAAGATTAGGAAGCAAGCCCTAGCTAACACAGTTGAAAAATGGCAGGGAGGAGTTTTCAGCCTCAATTTCAGGACCCTATACTTGGATGATGATGGAGATGATATGATTATTGAGACAGGGTCTCACTCTGTCATCCATGGGTGTGACCACAGTTCACCAAGCCTCAAACTCCTGGGCTCGTGATCCTCCTACCTTAGCCTCCCAAGAAGCTAGGATTACAGGCACACACCACCACACCTAATTTTTTTTTTGTCTTTGTGAGACAGGGTCTTGCTATGTTGTCTACGCTGGTTTCGAACTCATGGCCTCAAGCGATCCGCCCACCTTGGCCTTCCAAAGTGCTGGGATTATAGGCATGAGCCACCACACCTGGCTGTATATTTGGATTATTACATATTATAAAATTCACTTTGGTAGCATTAACCTTCAGTGATTTCTCTGAAATCAGCTGCCTCTAAAATCTTGAACATTTACGCTCCTGTTTTTATTTATGCCATTATTATAATTAGAAAACCCTTTTTCTAAGTACCACACATTAAAATGTACATCAAAACACTGTCTAAAACATTTTGTGAGGAAGAACTTCCATTCTCATTCCTGAAGCCCTAACTTCACCTGACAGACCCAAAGCAAACATTATGACTGCAGCAACAAGTGGAAGATCTGGCAAGCAGGACTGTGGGAGCTGGAAGTAGGTCTCAATTAACCAGTAATAACCTAGGGTGTGACTATCTTTTCCAAACCAAGTGTGGACAGTCTCAGTTTTCCTTTGCTGGTCTGTGTCGTCGTGCTCACTTGGCTCTGCTCATTTTGTTGTTTTTTTTTTTTTTTTTTTTTGAGATGGAGTTTCACCCTTGTTACCCAGGCTGGAGTGCAACGATGGGATCTTGGCTCACTGCAACCTCCGACTCCCAGGTTCAAGCGATTCTCCTGCCTCAGCCTCCCGATAGCTGGGATTACAGGCGCGCCCCACCACGCCTGGCTAAATTTTTTGTATTTTTAGTAGAGACGGGGTTTCACCATGTTGGCCAGGCTGGTCTCGAACTCCTGAGCTCAGGTGATCTGCCACCTTGACCTCCCAAAGTCTGGGATTACAGGCATGAGCCACCACACCTAGCCTGGCTCTGCCCATTAACAGCAATGTTCTTGTGAAGCTTGGGCCTTGTACATAACTCCTCACAGGCAAACTTTGTTCTTCTCAGCATGGTGTTGAGAAGAGTGGGGGTGAAGGGAAGGCCCCAGAGCCAGGTGCAAGGACAGCAGTGCTGCAGGTCTCTCATCCTGAGGGCTGGAATGCACCGGAAGGGAGGTGTTCTTACCATCAGCATCCTGTCTCCTGCTGGCAGCAGGAGGGTAAAAGGGGAATATGCTCAGGAAATGCAGGCTCAGCAGCAGAGGCACCATGGAGAATCCCCATCTGTCCCAGTGACACACACATCACATCAATATCCTATGGTTGAGGCATAAAATTTTATTTTAAACAGTGTGTTAAAAAATGTCTTGCCCTTTTGCCTTTTAACATTGATTATTCAACCTCTTTGGAATTTAAGAGATTTGTGAACACCATTAGGAAGATGGCACAAGGAGCACTCAGAAATCACCCAGGCTCCTCCAGCAAAGTCTGGCGCCTCCCCTCCCTTCTCCCTTTTGGGCTGCAGGATCCAAGGCTGCATGGCAGCCGAGTAGTAACTGGACAGGTGAGGACAGGAGAGCCGAGGCTCATTACTTTACAGCATGCTCTTCTCAACTGGGGCAATCTTCTCCTTTCCAAGGACCATTTGACATTTACAGACGTTTTTGTCACAACTGGGGGAGGGACGAGGGGGAGAACAGTGCCCCTGGCATCTAGTAGGTAGGGGCAGCAGGGATGCTGCCAAACATCCTACAAGGCACAGGACAGTCCCCACAACAGAGAATTACCCAGCCTGAGACACCAACAGTGCCAAGGCTGGGACAGCCTGTTGTGCAGCCCCATTTCAGGGGTGTGTATGTGTCTGCTGGAGTCAAGGGGATTCAGAATCAGAATTCACAACACTATTATCAGCCCAAGACACCAGAATCGATTCTGACAGCCAGATTGACCATCACCACACCCTTCTCGCCCTCCCTCTGGGGAGAGCTAAGTACACAGCCTTCCCTCTCTGTTTAGCAAGATGCCAACAGAGACGCTGGGCAGCCCACCCAGCTTCAGTCTTCTCGTCCTTTCATCCACCCCCAGGTTTCAGGTGAGCTTTGAAAGGCTGGGTGCTAGAGGCTCCATTACCAGACCCAGAAACTGTCCTTTTTTACTCTGGCACACAGAAAAAATATGAAAATACTTTCACAGTACGCAGGAGTAAATCGAGGAAGCCACTCAGCAGTATCAGCCCTGAGGTTCTGGTCTCATCCAGGGGTGGAGATCAACATTCCCTGTTCCCTCTCCAGGGCACCCAAGCTGAGTGAAAGTACCAGAATGCCAGGAAAGAACTTTAAAAGTCAATCAAGAATTTTTGCTGTTGTCACAATTGGTAGCAATTCCTTGCAATAACTGCCTGGGAAATTCTGATGTTTCCCTCCCCACGATTTTTCCCCCTCCTTAGTACCTCTT